CAGTAGGCGAAAAGACGTACAGAATTTCTGGCTAATGTCAGATATATGGGTACATGTATTAAGAATACATTACTATAGATAGAGCAAAAAGTATAAGTGACAACTGGTTATGGGTGTAATTTCCATAAGTTATGAAAATGTGCGTGAAATATATTTCACTGACTATTGAATTCGTGATATGAAATAAATAAGTCACGTTTTATATTGAAAACTACACTCTGATACATGCATCAAAATACACTGCATATCACGACATTGATTTCTTAAAGTTTCGTTAAATCTTGATACTGTTTACATCATAATCCTAACATGACTAGGGAAGGGTGTTATTAAACAAACAAAAATATGTCTGCTTTTAAAGAAAAATATTGCCCATTACAATTGCAATAGCATTGCGGGGAGGCCGGGAGAGGGACTACATTAAAGTCGGGTCACGAGTTCCACACACACACATACACACTTTTTGTTGCGGCATAGTCAAATTTGTGCACTACAAAAGAAAACGAGTGTGTGTTATGTTTGAATAAAAAAATTAATTCTGAAAGAAGATTGAACCCACCCCCCCCCCCCCCCCAACGGCGAAATTGGATTCGAGTTTTCACAACCCCCCTCTCCCTTTTTTTGGTTGAGTAGTTTTTTTTTTAAGATAAATTTATTTTTTTCTGGCTGACCTCCCCCCCCCCTTTTTCAAATGAGTGTGTGGGGACAGGAGAAGATACGAGTCAAATGTGTGGGTTTTTATAATATGTTTGGTATGTTTTGAAGTAATAACTGGGAAACAATGGTTTGCATAAATATTTTAAGCGAATGAGAGTCAAATTAGAGCGGTATATTATTACTTAATTAAAGCATCGCCTCATGAATGTGTGCTGGACGTAATATTTCATTAGTGGATGAGACAATCGCTTCGAAATGAGAAAAAACCTATTAGGTGTCAAGTTAATTAGCCATTGTTACGAAGGAAAAAATGAATAGATGACCTTTCATGGACGTGTGGAAGATTTTGTTTTGCTTGTCAATGAATATTTGGTGGTTGAAAGTGCTCACAACTGAAGAAGATGTATAGGACCCCCCCCCCCCCCCCCCTTGCACACACACACCTTATATGGCTTCCTACGGGCCTGTCGTTCTTGCGTAAAAATATTCAGTTTCAGTTTCAAATAGATTTCGTCAAAATTTTAATGGAACTGTAATTTCGCACAGAAAAGTCTAGCTGCAGATCTGTAGCGTTATGGTTTTACATATTTGTCTTTGACCATGGTCAAAGACAAATATGTAAAACCATATAACGTGACAGATCTGCAGCTAAGAAAAGTCAAGCACGGCGTTAAGTGAACATATATAAGAAAGAGAAAAGAACAGCACAATTCAACATCTCGTTTGATTATATCATACAATATGCATAAGTCATTTTTTTTTTCCGATCATAGTAGCGGCCCTTGGAAAAAACATATTAATGTTGTGTTCAAGTTAAACAGGGTACAGGTGCCACAAAATAAAAAAAAATGTTATGGTGCAGAAATAATTGTAACCGATTTTATTTATGGTATACTTTTAAAAAAGTAAGAAGTCAAAGACGGTTTCAATTTGAGGTATAAATTCAAAGAAAGTTTCAACTTAAGGTACGGTATATAAACAATTTATAAGAGAATCCTTTACAAGTACATTATACATGTTTGCCTATTTACGATGTTTCTACTCCATAACTAATACAGGCGAAAAAAATGAATTGTTTAAACAATGGAACCTTAGAGCTTTAAAAATTTTAAATAAAATATTCAAAAAAGTAAAAGTTTTAAAATCCGCTTGCATGGAAGTAGCGAACGTATAGTATATATATTTTTTTAATTCATGAATTTTTACAAACGGAACAAACGTTTTTAAAAACAAGTTTACATATCTTGGCGTATCTGAATTTATTTTCCAATTGAATTTTTCGATGATACTGAAAATACATGGTGTTTTTCATCCTATCGAAACAGTTATAGGGAAAAAAAGTTACGTGCATGCGTGTTGGTGAGTGAATGCTGACTCGTATGATTTTTTTAATATCGGGATCGATGTGCTTTTTGCGAGGGGGTGCCCCGTTTTGCGCGCGGTGCAATTCTGCATGGGATTCTCTCTCTGTATATATTTCCTTTAATCTTAAAGTGTCCGAGTGCTTTATATATTTTATAAATCGATAAAAAAGATAATTTGTATGGATTTAAACAAATATTATTTCCCTATTGATTATGTTACATGTATAAACTACTAGTATTCCTAGATTCTGTCAAGACCCCCTTTACGAAATAACTAGATCTGCTCTAAAATAGTATAAAAATAATAATAATATACGAAATTCCTTAGGAATAGTTACATAATAGTCGCTTGGAAGAAAAAATTAGATACTTTCTCAAGTTTTAAATTCTCAAAACAATTGAGGTTATTAAAATAACGTAATTTTAAGAATTTCTGAAAAATGAATTAAGCGCAGGCGACGTCATTACGTTTTCAGTGAGTAGCGTCAAAGTTGTTGGAACGAGTTCTAACTAAAATGCTCATAAAATACTGGAAAAGTGAGATATTTTCAAAATTTATGTATATTTGCATTCAGAAGGAGTCCGGCTATCAAAATTCACCAAAACGTCATTTTATGAAAATTTGACCTTAAGGGCCCTTTTCTCGTGACGGCAGTCATTTTGTTTGCTCTAATTTTATTTTATAAAAGTGAGTTTTACAGAGTATGAATTCCATTCTGTTCCCGTGTCAGAAGCTTGGATATGCTAAGCCTTGTAAAGCCTTACATGTTACGGAAATATAAAAGGACACCCCCCATCCCCTACACTGCAGCCAAAATAAAACATAATGCAAGCATGCTGTAGCGGTTTTATGTCGTTTATTTTCAGCATTGAATTTTATTCTATGTCAGCATTTAAATGAAGAAATAAAACCCAACCCTGAACTTATAAGGATTTTTTGTCAATCAAATCAAATAAAATCATAATATGTGCTTATACAATATACATGTATTATGATATGTATCCATAATTTGATGACAGGTTAAACAATATATTCCACACTGATAACTGCAATGAGATTATAAGTCCAATGATGAAATGGGTTCTTAGCATGATAATTGATCTGTTAAGAAACATTCAATGCTGATCGAGATTTTGTGAAAGACAAAGTCCTGCATGGCTTCAGGGATTTATTTGCAAATAATGCTTAAAACATTTGAACTCTGTATATAAAAAAAAAACAACACGTAAGTACAAAAGAGTTACATGTATATTAAATTTGGAGATCTTGAAAATAAATTGCCATACATGTAGTTTAGATAAAAAAAAAATCTTTCATTTTACAGTATTTTATCACATGTATTTTGTTTGTTTTGAAAACTCATCTTTTTCAATAGAGTTTCACATTTCCCGATATAAGATAAATGGATTCTATATAAATATTTTTATCTATACCCTCCATCCTCTCTCTCTCTCTCTCTCTTGCCCCCCGCCTCTCTCTCTCTCTCTCACTCTCATCAGATTTACTTGACCAGCTCTAGCTATTTAAGTTAGAACATTTAGAACATTTTTTTCATTTGGGTGTTTTTGCTTGTTTTAATACCAGTATCTCTAAATTGAAGTGTCTTAGTGACAAGAAAATAATTAAGACAAAACAACATTTATAAAGTTTAATTTATTTAATCATGATTCATGATACGGTAGATACTATACATGTATATTATTTTAAAAAAAGTTATTAAATTGTTTCATGTTAAAAAAAAAAGCTATGGATGAGAGATTTGAAAAAAAAAAATTGAAAGTACGTTTGTTCAATACTACAGTTTTCCTTATTTTTCTTTGTTTTTCCTTTTCTACATTAACGGAACCTTGTTCCCAAAGTACAACAATATTTTTTATTTAAAAAATCATAAATTAATTATGCTGACAATTAAAAGTGTTTTTATTTGGTCTTTATAATCCGGGAGCAATTCATGCGAATGAAAGTCCCTCTCTGGTACCCCTGTCACATCGATTGTTGACATCAGAGTTATCTCTCCTATATTTTATTTATAGAAAATACAAACATCTTCAGCATCTGTCGCTCTTACACATTTTTTGCTAAACTTGTAAAATGTAGTCTAAGATGTGTGTTTAGTTTCAACATAAGTATATTAAACAATTTAACAAAAGTTTAAGCAGTATGCACCGATGGATCAATGATTGCATGTGATCGACGCGATCGCGATGTACCAAGGTATACATGTATATTGAGAATGGTGGAGCGGATCTCAAATTTCCTTTGCAATATTTTAACAATATACCCCTGTCTAACATGTATCATAAATCTGGTATAAATATTATAAAAAAATTATTTATCAAGAGTATACAGTTTTATTATCCTATCAGAAAAAACACCTTGTCTACAGCTTCTATCTATAAATTATGCATGTAGGAAAACTATTTGAGACGTATTCATATATAATAGATATGTTAATAGAATAGAATATAATAGAAACCAGTTCTAAATGTTTTTTATTTATACCTATTAAAGTCGGCGGATTAGGAGATTCGAGTATTGATTAAATTAATTTATACATGAAACAAATTCCACATCTTGGAAAATACTGATACAAAAGTCTGCATGCGTCAAACGTCAAAACACGTGGTGAAAAAAAATTTTTCTTCGAAGTTCACCGTCAGTTGTACGTTACATCTTTTATGACGTTATTTCTCTGTTTTAGTAAAAATGCCATAAGGCCCTTTTGTCATGGGCGCAATCATATTAATAAGACACTAAGTTACATGTACATGTATTTAACAGCTTTCTTCATCAAACTTATACACTTCATTTTACATGTAAGTATCCCACACTATGCTGTATAAGAAACAATTCAACTGTTTTCATTCTTAAGTTGACCCCCCCCCCCCTTCTGCCTCCAAAAAAAGTCAATAAAATTGATAAATTAGTCAAATTTATCACTTTATGATTTGATGTTTCCTACAAATAATCCAGCTCACCCTTCACTTTTAAGCACGTCATTAAGTGTTGCCTTCGTGATGAGGTGGTCGTCACACTTGAACCACTGGTCCTTGTGTTGTCGGATAAAACAGGTGTAGTGGCCGCATTCTATTGTACCCATATGGTTCACAACAGCAAACAATGAATATCTACAAAAATGAAACAGATCCACATTAGGCCAAAGTTTTTTTTTCTCTTGGTTTACGATTCCAACGACCCTATTTTCCCCTATTTACAAAAATAAAAATAATGTGTCTGACTCTCAAGACTGGACCCTTAATCCGAAATTTTCTCGACCAAATGACTGTTTTTATAATTTACAACACATCTTAAACATTCCAATGACCTCCACAAATACAGACTGCCAAACCACATAGCGGGACAGTCCAAGGATCAACCTAGGGGGCGACTCACTTTCAGACTGTTTCTATACTAATGACCAATGCATCGAATACTGCGTCGGAACTCCTCTAGATTTTACACTTCCGGGTATGAAAAAGTTCATCGTTACAAGTTATACACAACAAGACGCAAAACAGCTGGACAGCTATCGATGTCATGCCAAAGATGTTGGAGAAGATTTTAGATCTTTTTATTGTCAAATAATTAATTCATGCTGTGAATACAGACATAGTTTTACTGTTAAATTGTGAAATTATTAACTTCCTAAGAAGTCACACATCGGATCCGATAAACATAAGTAGTTCAATCGGCATGCATGCAGATGTGTGTCAAAACTTTTATTAGAAAAAGAATTTTATATAGAAAACAAAGTTTGAAGAGAAATTAACAAAATTATGACTATGCCAAAAGCCTAGAAATCTAATGAGAAGAGAAATTTTAGAAGTTTAAGATTGTGCTACTATTAAATGTTTGATAAACAATTAATCTGACAATAAGAAACTTTTACATTTTAATAGTAGTAATAGTAAATTTTATTTAATGTCAATGTTGTTTTATTATTCTTCTACATATTTATATACCTTGTAATTGGGAGAAATATCTTTTAAGATTCTTTTTCTCTTGTTTAATCATTTTTAAAATACAATGTTTATACAGAAAAATTATCGAAATGTATGCAAGATATAAACATTGAAATATAGTTTTATAACGTTTAATGTGTGCCACGTACGCAGGCCAAGAAGTCTCCCTTTTCAAAACTTCTAACTAAATTTCTTTGAGGGAGAAATTTCTGCCTAAACTTTGGGTCTAGGTTGGTCCCTGGACACACATATCTTAAGGTAAAAGTTTGTTGTGAAAGCAAGCCATCACTTTCGGAGTTTCCAAAAACTTTTTCATAAGTGGAAAGGCTGCTTAGAGAATAGCCGATTCACTTAATTTTACCCATATTTGTCCAGTGCAACGTGTCTATTATGGAAACTCTAACTTGTAAGTCAGAAGAATGAAAACCATCAACAGTAACAGAATAAAACAGAAACAATAAAGTTGAAAAATCTTATGTGTTTCTTATTATTTTTATTTGAATACATCTCAATGCTACTCGAGAAAAATATGTCAAGGTTCCAAATTATTTTCATTTTTATTTTTCGACCGCCCCATGCATATTTTTGTGTCAAAAAATCGTAAACCAAAAAAAATAAAAACTTTGGCCTTATACAGTAAAGCTGTGTATATTTTATCTGGATGGTATTATGATTTTTAAACAGATTTTAATAGATTATCAAATTTTGGTGACATCTTTTATCTAACTGTTATGCATTTGGTATTTATAAGAGAAACAAAATTTACAACAAATGTTGGTTTTTGTTGTACATGTCCTCAGCTAATAAAAGTATACTTAAAAATATTTTTTGTGAGTGACAATCTTGCATGTAAACGGACCGCCTTGCTTGTGACCACAATGTCTTGCATAATGACCCAAAAATATAGTTCTCACAAATAAACAGTAGTTTACAGTAGGTCATAGGACTTACTTGTTATCACATGAAAGCCCTTTGGCAGATTCCTGTACGATTTGGTTCCTGTAGCCATTGTTATTATTTCGGGAGGAGGACATGAAGGGGGTCATGTCCAGCTCCTCGGGGAATGATACAAAAGTTGAGATCTTCTTGTGAAGGCCTGTTAAGTGCTCAAATCTCTGTAACAAATTAATATGATATGTATTCAGATCTTCTCCGGAGGCCTGTAATGATAACTGTAATTAATTATAACAGAGAATTACTTCAATTTCTTTTTAATTTTTTTCTGTATCCTTTTACAATATAATGCATATTTTCCTTTTAAAAATCAGTTACCTCCGTGTATAAGTACAGTACATATGATAGTACAAATATTTTCATAACTTTGCAGCATAAAAATTTCATATTCAATGAAAAGATGAACAAAAAGAATCATAACTGTAAAACTATATAATACAGAACTTCTGATCTCAAAACCCAACAAGCTAATAATTAGGGAAAAAGAAGTTCGTGGAGGGGGGGGGGGTGTCAGATCCCCCTGACTTAAGTTGTAAATAATAAAATTTGTAGAATTATTATATGTATACATGTATACTGAAGCAAATAAAATACATGTATGTCAATATGCATATAAAGATTTATATTCTTTATTACGTGTATAGAAAATTCTTTTTATATGGAATATTTACATGATTTATCACACTGTAATAATGATTTTATAACCTCATAAATTTTTCATTTCACATGCTGAATACTATCATTTAGTAAAAAAAAAAGTATTTAAAAAAAAAAGAAAGCATCGACCGAGATTCGATCCCGGGACCTCTTACACTTGAAGCGAGAGACATGACCACTGGAACACGGAATCGCTTTACCCTATGTGAAGTATATGCAGAACTGAAGTCACATATATGTATATATTCATGTTTTCATGTTCGGTATTCTCAAAATTTTACACAATCCATGGTGTTTGATTTATTTAGCCTGTATTAAACAGTTCTAATAGATGTAATAAGAACATAAACGAGAACCTGTTTTATACGCAATAACTCTCCTCATGCCCCTGCGCTAAAAATAGCGACATGTAATACTATAAATACTAATAAAACAACGGGGCGGGGCACTTTGAGAGGGGCGAGAGACTCTAGGGAGTTTTGGCATTGCATAAGCTAAATCTTCTACGGAAATGATAGTATTACACACAGACAGAATGTATAAATTTACGACCTTGAACTTTAACTTTGACCTCAAAATCAATAGGGGTCTTCCTTAGGCCACAGGGAGTTGTTATATAAAATTTATTGCAATAGCTCAAATGGTTCATATATTTGGAAACGAAAGTGTTTTAACATACATAATTTGCTTATTTATGACCTTGACCTTTGACCTTTTGACCTCAAAATCAATAGGGGTCCTTTAGTCCATAGGGAGTTGCTATGCTAAATTTCATTGCAAAAGCTAATGAGGTAGCGTTCGGATAACGGACAAACCCAAATTAATATCCCCCACTTTTCAAGCGGGGGGACAAAATAATTGAACTACAGAGAAAAAAAATTGATATCATAAGAGCACTTCATATTAATATATCACCCTTTCTCAGAGGAGTAAACAAACCTTGAGATGAAAACAGGCCACTATTGGCAGCTTCTTCATAGTCAGCTGTTTAGTGGACTCCTGGTAACTATGACACGTACTACACTTGATTTTAGCTGAACTGCCTAAGTGCTCAGGCTTTGTAAATCTACAGAGATTGAGAAAATTAATACTTTATCTATGTATCATTTTGTGTATTATATTATGATCAACATATATTTTTTCTAAATTAGAATCATACCCTCCTGTAACATACCTTTTTAAGCAGTCTAATAATGAGGTAGGTTCATAAGTTCCTGGACTATTTGTAAAACCTGTCAACATAAAATTAACTATCTTAAATACTGATTTCATATCTAACTTCATGAATTATCATTTAAAATTTGTTAAGGAAAATATTTTAATGGTACTGGTTGAGACTGTTAAATGTTCATATATGGTTAAATTTCTAAAGAGTTGTTGTTTTTTTTTTTCATGGTTTTGATTTACATTCATTTTTGTTTGTGGTACAATGTTGTGCATGTCAGGTCTATATCTATGATGGTATCATTTGACGAAAATAAATCATTAAAATCACTTCTGACAAAAGAATAAATTAATCCAAAAGAATAAACAGCCCTCTAATGTCTGCAGAGCTCACCTGAACTTGGGGATGAGCTGGAGTTATTAACATTAAGGAGAGCATTTGGTATGGCACCTGGTCCCAGGTCAAGAGAAATGTCCCATATTGGGTCTATTGTGGTTGACACATTACTACAAAAGAATAGACATGTTCAGATATATGATAATTTTCAGAGTTATAGTTCCTGACTCGGGGACTGACATCTTTAACTTTGTTGAACAACTCTAAAAAGTCTTGATTGATGTTTTTAAAGATTTTTTCAGGCAATGAAAAAAATTGCAAAACAATGTTTCAACTCTAGTTTCTTTCAAGACAATGACTGAATGAGGAAATTAAAATAACCTTGACAGATGACATATTTCAGACATAAATAGGTCTAATATATCTGACAAGTGTGAACACAGCTATTGAGCAATATTTCCTTAAAGGACTACATGTTTATGAGACTAATTTTGATGCAATTCTTCACAGACAGACAAATAAATGTGGATAGACACTTTAAAAAAATTGATCCCATTGTGATCAGTTTTGTGGTGACACAATCTGACATTCTGACAAATTACGTACTTGCACTGCTGACATGTGACATCTGACTGTAAACCACCAGTAAAGATTTGGTCGATGATGCAGTTACAGTGATGTGGATTCCCTGAAGCCATTCCATTTCTCCCTGAAGAAGTATATATAAAAAAGTTTATAAAATTAAATTTATCATAACATAATATACATGTACATGAAGTATTATGCTTGTAAATGTATTCGTTTTTTTTTTCAAAAAGAAAATTTAATATTCTGTACTTTAGTTTGTGAACAAAAATTGCATCATTTCAACAAGTTTAATTGAAGTGATTTGTAAGAAGAAAAATTTGTAATCAAAATGGTTGGCAATTTGATAATCGGGGACAAAAAGCACTTTTACTGAGAAAACACCAAAACAGCTATCATGCATCACAAAGTTTTGTCTTACATACACATATCATGTTATGTCACAAATTGGTTAAAGAAAACACAGAATTCAGCAATTGCCAGAAAGAAAGAATCTGATGTACACATAAAAGGTACATTAATGAACATAAAGTGAATACCACCTCATGCAAACAAATAACATCTGTCTATATGCAGGGATCACTGATTACTAAATATAAAGGCATAGTGACTAAACATATACATACAGTGCACATTGGGATTAATACATTATCAAATGTAGAAAGTTACAAGTACATGTACAACACATCAAGTCAAAAAACCAACTGCAAATATTTTGTATACCTAGACACAGAATAACAGTCATAACCTTTTATTCATGCAATTACAACCCACCATTGACCAAAAAGTATTCACATACAAGTTCTATGCTATGTTGATGATACATACAAGATATAAAGGTATGCGTATGAATGTTCATACAATCTTGTATTCCCCCTTTGATTTTTCTGCAGATCATCAAACAATGTTCTGAAATTCTTTCCAGAATTAAAAAGAAGAGGTCTATTTGAAAGACAGAAATAAGAAATGGTCTCCATTGCAAGAAGCTGAAAAGGCTTTAGATATGCAATTGAGATTTATAGAACCCAGAGAGAAAAGTTTGAACGAACTGGGAATATACAAGCCTGTACAAACCTGTGAAGAACTTGTTGATGGATAAACACTTATTATCTGAGTAACCTTTACAGTGCCGATGCAGCACATCAAGTGCTGCGATCAGAAACTCATGAGCGTCCTGTTGTTCATAGCCAGCCAGGTGTCGAGCATTGGTCCAGACCAAATGTAATAGACGATACGGAATATGGGGAGTTCTATTGCCAGAATAAAACTGAAAGAATAAACATAAAAAACTTTGTAACCTTCAATGTCTTCATTCAAATACTAAATGTACATCAACCAAATGTAATAGACGATACAAAATTCTATTGCCAGAATAAAACTGTAAAAATAAAAATACACTACAGTGTAACCCTCTATGTCTTTGTTCAAATTGCAATTGTACTTATACATTTTCTCTGTTTTTTACTGCAAGGCATGTAAAAAAAAATTATCTAATTCTATTCATCATTTAATGAAAAGTCGTGACAAAATACCTCTTTGGAAAAGCCTTGCCATCTCACAAACAAGGCACTGTTGAGCTTCTACTGAGGTCATTTGACAATTGTGCTTATCAGCAAGGAAAAAGTCACGTAGCACCGGGGTGTGAATCAATGATTGCACAATGCAGTTCATAAAACAGGTATTTCCTAAATTAATTAGCCCTCTCAATCCTGTAAAGGAAGCAAACTTATTTAAAATCTCATTAAATGTCAACATTTCAAGAATTCTATGGTCAATACAATGATTTATATCAAATTGTACAATCTATCATTAAGTGGAATGCTGACTGCTGTCTTTAACATAAACTGTAGATTATTATTTGCACACTGGGGGCTGTATTTCTGGATACAAAGATTTTTAAAAGATATCATTAAATTTTCACTAATTTAAAATTATCTCCCCTTGAAAGAGGGTGTGGCCCTTGTTTTGAACAAACTTGAATTCCCTTCACCTAGGGATACTTTGTAGCAAGTTTGGTTGAAATTGGCCCAGTGGTTCTTGAGAGTTAAAGTTGAAAGTTGAAATTGTAAAAAGATTACAGATGAACAGACAGATGGACTTCAGACAAAATGTGATCATAAAAGCTAGCTCACTTGAGCTTTTAGTTCAGGTGAGCTAATAAAAAGAGACAATGTTACATATAGCGTATGAATGTTTTACCTATAGTTGATTTATTTTCTACTTTTCTCCTCTTGGGATTCTGTCTAAGAATTTCAACCTCTACATCAGTTGGTTCCCATGCTATGAAATTGTATGTTTTCATCCCTGTTATGATACGAAATAGAATGTCAGAAAAGAAAGATATACAGAAAATAGGTAATCAAATTATGAAACTCTACAAATTAGTTTTTCTTTAAGAAAGGCAAAGTCTCATACCAATTAAATGAATGATTAGAAAAATTCATATATTATTTAAATGTAAATTGATCATCTCAAACTCTTACATTATCAAATTAAATAACTCGCATCATTAGAAAAAAATAATTATGAAAATAAACCTAAAGACTTGGCAGCTTTCTCATTTTGGATATGAGCAATGCTTTCCAGTTCTTTGTCATAAACATAGTCTCCACATTCAAAGCAATAAATCGTCCCATATGTCATGTCAGCAGCTGTAAAGAACAAAATGGAAGAGATTTGATACATAAACATATTAAATGATGTATAGATCTTTAACTTTCATATAATTTATTACAGAATGTATATAAATTGCAGACTGATTACACAGTTAAAATATATATGATAAATTACCTAAATTGTGATTCTTGGAGAATGCATGCTCATGGATGTGCTTGGTCGTGTAACAGCCAAAAAATACACAATACAGACAGGCATGGAGTCTGAAGGATGGGAAGCGGCAGGTGTGACATACCCCAGACTTTCCCTAAATTAATGGAAAATAATTTAATCATGCTTATCCATCAATTATCATGATCATATGTTTCGATCAACATAATTTCCTTGTTCTATTTCTCAACATAAAACTTTACCAGACAATGAGGATAATATATCTTGTCTTAGATTATTTTTCTGTCTTATTTCCAACATAATTTCTTTTCTCGCTATTATATTAGTAATGGTTATAATGTAATTGGCATTGTCAAAACAAACAATACACCTTTCTTTGCCTTGCACTGTCCGATGAAGTAGCGATAAAATATGCATGAATTATTCGAAATTGGTTGGTTCCATATTTAGACTTGTACTCAGTTATGTGCTGACAACTTGTCATAGTCATAATAAAGTGCCCTTCTGGTTGCAAATCCTCTGTTTCATTTTTTTGAAATAACAGATTTCTTGCGACAAAAAACCTGACAAAGATTATGCGCAGTCGTGACTCATTTCGTGCTTCTTCACGCATTGTGCAAATTCCGGTTCCGCCAAATTTCTACCTGGCTACTCAGAAGTTTACTTCTGTTTCATGAGGTTTTATGTTGTTTTTGAGTTGGATTTAATCTTAAGGTACCTCAAAAAATGATAAGAAAGCTTCAAATTATCGAAGTGAGAAAGAAAAGACTACATCATTGCGGTTCTTTGACTATTGTCTGCACTTTCACTTTTGATGTCTGTTGTACTTTCTGTTTGACTCAAGGAGTACACATGGCGAGATTAAGTTGTAGCAGGGACCTATATACTAGTAGTATATAGGTCCCTGGTTATAGATCTGCAAGTTTCCTTAGAGACATGCTAATACTAGAATCCATTTTTTACGGTCAAGAAGAAAGAAAGATTTCATTTGTGGGCATCATTCTTAGCGTTTAAGAATTTGATAACAAACAAGGGATATTTCATATGCTGGAAAGTTTGAAATGTTTTTTTTTATTATTTATACAAAATTTTATTCACAAAGTGAATGTTTTGAAATTAGATCAAAGGATTTGTTTACATTTTTTAATGTATCATCGTTAAATTTATTCCAATCATTTGAAATATTTTAGTCAACACATCAGTAAATTTTTTGACATATACTGCATATTAAAATCTTGACAAGCAACTAAGTAAGAATACATGTATATATGTGTCACTGGGTTCACATGTGCGTGAAAGTCAGTCAATATATTGGGTCTCAATAGCTCAGTTGGTTAGAGCACTGGCACAGTATGCTAGAGGCCCTGTGTTCGAGTCCAAGTTGAGACTTGACTTTTCACCACCTCACCTGTGACATATATATACTAAATCATACTGAGTAACTTTGGACAAAAGTATGTTAATAATATTGTGACCCCTTGGGGTAGGAAGGGGCATCTTCATGTATGCGGTGTTTAAATTTAATGGCCACAGAGCTTATACAAAGGATCAAAGTAATTAAGTTTTTAATTGATACATAGAAAAAATCTGTTTCTTGAGGGTGTGTTCCCCGAATGGCTACTCGGAAAAAACAACAAGTAATTATATATCACACTTAATTAAGGGGCCCTCTAAGGAGTACAGGTAGACTTACCTGTGTTTACCTGGATAAGCAATATTTTATAAATCAGATATATTCATTCACTTTTATTTTAATAAGGAGTTTTTTTTTCTTTTTGGAAATATACTGAAACAAAAAATAGATAAATATAAATAGATAAAACTAAGATTTAAGAAAAGTAAATTTTATATTGTACCTTTAATTCATTTTTTCCCAAACTATTCAATAGTATTGATTGAGAATTTCAAAGTTATTATCCCCTTTTTGTGCTACATTTTCAAACTCTTATAAATAAATTGACACAAATGATTTTTTTTCTTAAAATAATATAGATATTTATATATGATAAATAAAGTGTTTCTATAAAGTTTTGTCTAATTTTTCATTTATTTATCATTTTTAATTATTAAAATATTCTTTTAAATCAGCATAAAATACAGAAGTTTGTTTCAATTTGTATAATAAATATAGACGATTCGAGATAAAAACAGAGCCCAAGAGAAAATGACAGGGCGGACCTTAAAACTGTAAGTCAGTATAATCTGTGTCCAATCCATTGAGCGTGCTCAATAAAATATGTTTAAATCAATTACATCAAACAAATTTACTGATGTCCCTAAATGACCCTTTTCAAAATCATCCGTCATTCTCCTTTGTAGACATGGGAAAATAAATACAATCTGGTCCATAAAAGAATTTGTTGGGTTCACTTTTCATAAATTGCGTTGTTTCAGGTATTTACCCAATATAACTTGGGATAGTAATATAAAGAATATTTTTAGTATCGATTGGAGAAACTTTCTTTCAACAAATGCATCTTAGTCAAAGAAGGGGGATAACCTCTTCTTTATCTTTCCATATGCTCCTTGTGTATCAAATGTATAGAAAATAAAGACCAACTTCAGTTACTCTATTTTATAATTATTAATACTACAGATTCCTTTTTTCACCCAACAGGCAAATAGTATCTGAGAGAGGGGGATTGTGAGGGGGGGGATGCCCCCGCTTTTTTCCAGAAACAATTTTACTATATATGAAATGTTCATTGAAAGTAAGCACTGAAATAGGATTTTAGAGCTGGGACAATTTACTTCTCGTAGCATAAAAAACTAGAAAAAGGGACAGGGTAGACCTTAAAACGCAGTATAATATAAGGTCCGCCTTCTGTATTTCAGATATTTTCATGTAAATATTGTAAATATGTGTGATATGAAAGTGAAACAATGCTGTTTAATATATAATGTGAAAATCAGTGCTGCTGAACAATAGAACTTCAAGATAATTTATATTTTTTTTAGTATGTTTTGTGCTTGTAAAATTATTTATTTAAAAAATATGTATACAAAATATTTATTCATACTAGTGCTCTTACAAAAACAATGATTTAAAAATCCATTTTATTTTATTTAAATTCTGGTAGATTATTTACACAGGTAAGTCTACCTGTACCCCTTAGAGGGCCCCTTAATTGAGTGTGATAATTACTTGTTGTTTTTTCCGAGTAGCCATTCGGGGAATAAACCATTCATCTTACATTATAATTCTTTATAATATTAATATGTATAGTTCTCAAGAATTCAGATTTGGTTAAAGAAATGCCCAACTGGGTGGGGTTGCAAAGTGTGTGGGGGGGGGGGGGGGCAAATAGGGTTGACATGACTATATCTCACTTTAGTCCATGGGCTTATGATTGGGTTAAGAGTCCAGTAGTCAGTATTTTGGGACAATTTTTTAAGGTTTTGATGAATCTTGTTAAATGTATTTGTGAGCAATGCAGATCGAAAGTCTACTTGAAGTGAAATTTATAAAAAGAAGTAAACATTTATCATTTCAAGTTTTTATTTCAGATCTAATTAAAGCAGCTTAAGTGATGACGTGGAGTCAGATATGTAGTTTTATCGGCTGTCCACTTGGATTACTTTATATTTTAAACATTTTCCTGTCTCACAAGAAAAGGAAAAACTTAAAGGGAAAAGTTGTTCTAATAACAGGAGCCAACTCAGGATTAGGAAAAGGTTTGTTTTTATAATCTTAACAAATTTAACACAGGTTAATTAATCTTATATCTAATACTGAGCATGTTGACTGCTGAGACAATACATAATATTGTAGTAATTAAATTGAAAAAAGGAATGTTACATGTATTTATTATTTAAAGAAAAATATTTCAAAGAAATATATTCTCTATTTTCAGCATGTGTTTCTGCATTTCATCAAGCTGGGTGTAAGGTTATCATGGCAGGGAGAAATCAGGAGCAGTTAAATCAAGTGAGAGAGGAAGTTATTCAGAAGCAGGTACATTCTCATTGTCCTCTTAACAAAGGTATAGAGAAAAATAATGGTTTTGCCAATCTGTGTTAGCCACAAAGCAAACTTTTGCAAAATATTTGTCTAATAAAAAAAATTATTATTACTGTATAATGATAATCAGTTATGACAATTTTGCTTACAGATGCCAGACACATTTTCACCGGAAATTCTCATCATGGATTTGATGGACTACAAAAATATGAAAGAACATATTTCTAAGGGATTGAAATTATTTGGACAGATAGATATTTTGATAAACAATGCAGGGATCAGCTACAGAGGGGAGATAACCAGTACTCAGATACAGGTGGATGAAAGAGTGATGGCTGTTAATTATTTTGGTCAAATTGCTTTAATTAAAGGTAACTAACTTACAAAAAAAAGATCGTATTTATGAGGAATTCCTTTTATCTTTAATAATATGTTTAGAACTGCTGTAACCTTAGTAATTTGGAAAAGAACAGGGTCACCCAATATGAAGTCGATAAGACTTGTCTGTAATTATTGTGTCCCTCCAAAATTCATATTGCTCTAAGGGTTTACATGAATATAGGCTATGGCATAACCCTGATTAATTGTCATTAAGACACAATTCAAGGTCACAGAATTCAGAGAAGTACTTCAGAAATACATGCATAAATTTTTCCATACAAAACTTAACATTCTGAGACATTTTCAGGCAGCCTAGAAGTGAATAAATGTTCGTTGGCCAGTGACATTTTCATACAAATTTCATAGAAAAGATGTTAGAAATTCAAGTCCTATTCATTGGAAAGCTGTAGAATGTTGTGAAAAATAATAGGTGACCCTAAGTAATGCATGTACCCTGGTATACTTTTCAGAGGTTTTACCTCATATGAAACAACAAGGAGGTGGATCTATTGTTGGTGTGAGCAGTGTTCAAGGAAGGATTGCCATTCCATTCAGATCAGCATGTAAGTTGAAACTTTGATTAGAGTTATCATATACAGTACTAAAAATGTGAGTGAAAATCTTATTGTCAGCATGCTCTTGGACTGGTTTTAATAGAATGTGCGAAAGAAAAGCATCCTTACTTCAAATACAGTAAAAACTTGTTGTCTCCAATTAGATGGGACCAAGAGAAAACTTTAAGGTACAGATTTAATTGGGGATTTGAGATATTGATGGTAAAATACTTATAGAATAATTGGGTTTTATCTTCTAAATCACTTCAACATATCCTTCAGTGGTATTTGGAATAAAGGTACATTATTTTTGACAGATATTACTTTTCAATTGTTTTTCATCCATAAAATTAAATCCCCAAGGCCCATTAAACCCACATTTTTTTCACAAACCCAAAAAATTTGATTTAACTGTATAAAGAAAAAAATTAAGAACCACTGGGCCAGAAAAGCAAGACTTATATGGAAGAATCCTTGGGTAGTGCATCGTCGCAAACCACGGTCAAAATGTACGATCCTCTCCCATTCTGGCCGTGGTTGAACGAGGAGAGAATTCTTCGTAGCTCATTAGAATATTGACCAATGCCAGTAAAGCATAGTCGGATGATGAACTTTATCACGACCTTTCAATATCCAATCACAGTTTACGAAATATTCGTTGTATACTTTTGATGTCAATTGTTGCGATGGAAACAAAACTTCCCACTGACTGAATATGACGTCACAATAGAGAGGCGTAAATATTCAAGATTACAACACTTTTTATGATCAAGCAGCCACAGGTAGGAGAGAGCTTTATGCAGACTCTGGACCTTGGCTTGAGACAATGTGGGAAGTGTAGATTCTAAATTATTTGAATTTCAAATTGTACCCCTGGGGGTTAGGACAGGGTATTACATGTATAAGAGGATAAATCTGGGGAAGAACAGCAGGGCCAGTTACTCAGGTGAGCCTTGTGGTCCATGGGCCTCTTATTTCTCTGTCCCATGTAGTTTGAGATAACCAGGTTTGCCCGTATGTTATTTTCAAGATTATCTCTGAATGCATGTCCTTTAATTACTGCATATTTGTGAATACATACTGTTTCAATTTTGTATGTTAGACATGTATATATTTTACAGTTGTTGTTTATAGATGCAGCCTCCAAGCATGCTTTCCAGGCTTTTTTGGACACCCTGAGAGCTGAGGTGAGCAGTGACAATATCCAGGTGTGTGTTGTCAGTCCTGGGTACATTCAGACCAATCTATCCCAGAATGCAGTTTGCGGTGATGGATCATCATACAACAGTAAGATCTGAATAATTACATTTAAATAAATCTATCATGCTTTTATAGCTGACCTTTACAACAGATGAGGTGAGGTGTGATCAAACTTTTAAAGTTGTTTCCTTGTTGTCAATCTGCTCTACATTTTCAACTTATCTTTAGAACCAGTTCTGCTAATATAAACCAAACATGGCACAAAGCATCCTTAGATGAAGAGAAAATATTTTCATTAAAAAGCCAAGTCATCTTCCAAAACAAGATGATTAATAGATAATGAAAATATGGTGTTTTCATTACAGAGTCTGTTGGGAAAGATGAATCTTAAGATAAAACTTCTTTCCACAGAGTAATTTCAAGGTTGTTGAAATAATGATCCTTCAAATGGTGTCTTTGGGGGTAGGGGGGTTGAGGGTGGAAACCATTAAGGAGGAAGGAATGTGGTGGACAGGCAGGCATGTGTTTTAGATAATGGGTTCATTTGAGATAGTGATAGAGGTGTCACAGATTCAAACCCTGGTCTAGTTCACTTCAATTTTCTCCTAATAAGTCACACAAGCAACAAATTGAATCACTTTAACAACAAGCCATGTTTCAAAATTGGCTGTAATTAACTTTTGACTTTGAATTCAATGACATGGACTAAAATATCCTTAGATATACAGGGAATGTTTAGTCTACACATGTGAATAAGATTGATTGATTGTATGTTGTTTAACGTCCCTCTGGAGAATTTTTCACTCATATGAAGACGCCACCACTTGCCGGTGGAGAGCTACAAATTTTATCCTACTCAGCACTTAGGGCCATTGAGCTGTGAGGGATCTTTTTTGTGCCAGCACCTACTGCGACACGGGACCTCGGTTTATACGGTCTCATCCGAAGGACCAGTCTCCACGTCCCACAGTGGGATTCGAACCTGCGAGGTAAAGATCAACTCCTTACTTCGCGACTCTAGAGCAGATGCTCTAATGGTTGCGCCATGCGGGTGACTGAATAAGAGATACCAAGCCACAGGCACTTGTTTCTGTAATAAATTTTTGACCCATAGTATAATGATATTATTATATTATGGGTCAAAAAATAAACAAGTGCCTGTGTACCAAGCATATGCCTTAACTTATTACTTTTTTTTCAGAAATGGACAGTACTACAGCCAGTGGAATGGACCCAGAGAAAGTTGCTTATAGGATACGACAAGCAGTGGAATTCGGAGAAAATGACATTGTGTTAGCTCCTTTGCTTCATAAAATTGTGATAATTATAAGGACTTTATTTCCCTCTTTGTTCTTTCTGATAATGAGTCAAAGAGCTAAGTCAGGTAGAAAAGAATATTCAAAGCTGAAAACATCTTGAATTTAGTCAATGGTAAATTGTATTTCTTACGTAGATTAAGAGTGAAAATTTGTCATACCATGTACATATTGTGTAATCAATGTTACTATACATTGCATAAATTTCATTGGGTAGAAGCATTACTTTGATATTGATACTCATGTCTTCCTTTTTTTTTGTGGGGGGGGGGGAGGGGTTAAAATGAATTATACTAAGTAAATGTTTGAAAATGAAATTTTGCAAAATTAGAAGATACTTGCTTGAAAAGAAAGTGAAAATTATCATGGCATGTATGCAAATTATTGTATATGGAAAATTTAGAAAATCATAATTATTAGAAATTGTATATTATTAAGCCATGCTTATATGTCAGAATTGCTTTTTGTGATTTAATTGCAGTTAAGGTCTACTTCCCATTTCATCTTCGCAAATTAAATTTCCATCTTGCCTTAATTTAGTATTTTTTTTTTACAGCATTTGAAGTATAGTGATTATCTTAGAACAAATTATCATTGTGAAATTGAAAACAGTTTGTAACTGGTTAACCATCAAGAAAATACATGTATAAACACTGTTTGAAATGCTGCAACTATAATCACAAGGCTTTAGCCTGCATCCTTAGTTAGACCACAAAAAAATCTTTTTGACTCATGATAGAAATGTTGCAGACAGCATGTTTTATACATAAAGAATTATTGCTTTTCTAAAATGCCAACTGAATATCTCACCCTTTTTTGTACTCTTATACTAACTAGTGCTAATTGTAACGGGGACCGTTACAGATGTTCCCCAAACGCTCCCCAAATCCCTTTTAAAGTCTTCTTCCCTGAAAGCGTAATTAAATAAGACAAACTTTATGCATTTGAGACTTTAACAACGTTTACCAGAAGTGTGCCATGTTCATTAAAATTTTATCACTGCACGCTTGCGCATTGAATGTATGTGCGTAATGACCATATCATATTGTCTAAACAATCTATATATTTTAATATGCTAAATATTAAAGTATTTAATCCAAAAGTATGAAAGAAAAAACGCTCATTCAAGTGCATTTTTGATTTTACCCAATTCACGTGCACGCACGTGCATACATGAGCATGGTGACCATACCTTCTTGTAGAAGTCCATTACATCTATCTATGTTCTAAATCCCACCCCATTTGGTTGAAAACCAAGGGAGTTATAGCTGTTTAAAGTTTCAGCCAATCAGATTGCAGCGCACATACACGCACGTGTATGTATGTGTAGGGTGACCATACCTTCTTGTAGAAGTCCATCATATATATATATATATCTATGTTCCAAATCCCAACCTGTTTGGTTGAAAACGAAGGGAGTTATGGCTGATTAAAGTTTCAGCCAATCAGATTGCAGCATTCGTACACGCACGTGCATGGTGACCATACCCTCTTGTAGAAGTTCATTATATATATCTATGTTCCAAATCCCATCCTGTTTGGTTGAAAACCAAGGGAGTTATAGCTATTTAAAATGTCAGCCAATCAGATTGCAGCGCACGTGCATGCACGTGTTTTCATGATAATTGCTATATATCATTTTGTAGGATATCCTAATGCATGGCAATGATAAAAATTTCAAAGGATTTCGTCAAAAAACAAGAAAGATATTGAGACTTTAGTTTTAGCCAATCAGAGCGTAGCGCACGTGCATGCGCGTGAGTTCTTGCCATATTGACCACATCATCTTGTTTATACTACTAATATATCCTTACATTATGAGTTTCATAACATTTCATCAAAAAATAGAAAAGTTACGGCAATATACATTATATTGGTCATTTCACATGTTGCACGTGCGCGCTCTTGCAAGCACGTGCGCGCAAAATGACCTTCGTTCCGCAAATCTACATAACATGTCTACTGACCATAGAAACATTTCACCTTAGTTGGATGTGTAGTTTACGAGATCATTCGCGGACAAAAAAGTGCCCAGGAAGAAGAAAAATAATAATAACTAGATGAGATCTCGTTGCGAGCAACGAGTGGGTCTTCCGTCCAATTCGTGATGAGATGAGATAAGATTTTGATTGCGATTTTCATTCTAAAATAATGATTTACCACAATCTGTAAAAAGACATTGAACATTAAAGTCTTTAAAAAATCGGCCTTTTGCCCCTAACGGCCCCTAATTTTAGGAATCGGCCCCTTTTTTCATATCATCTTAAAGATCTTAAGATTTTGAACATTTTGTGTTCAACAATTGTTCAGAAATTCATTTTCGTTTTTGAGATATTAGAAAAAGAAATTTTTAGGGGCCAACCCTTCAACTCCTTAATGGGGACGTTTAGCAAAAAATGAAAGGTTGCATATTGTTTAGAACATTATTTTGAGCAACTTTTGTTCAATATTGCTTATCAAAATATTTCTCCCTTTCGAGATATAAAGCATCAAAGATTTAGCATTCTGGCCCCTTGTGGCCCCTAATTATGTAACATACGACATGGAAATCATAATATATAGTTGTAGATGGTTGAGATGAACATCTTTGCTTCAGTAATGTATTACAAAATATTAACCGATAAAGAGTTATCGATTGAAGACTTTTGGCCCCTCTTGGCCCCTAATTCGAGTGCCCAGTCCCTTTTTCGGGATCTCATCTTAAAGATCTTAAGATTTTGAACATTTTGTGTTCAACAATTGTTCAGAAATTCTTTTTCGTTTTTGAGATATTAGAAAAAGAAATTTTTAGGGGCCAACCCTTCAACTCCTTAATGGGGACGTTTAGCAAAAAATGAAAGGTTGCATATTGTTTAGAACATTATTTTGAGCAACTTTTGTTCAATATTGCTTATCAAAATAGTTCTCCCTTTCGAGATATAAAGCATCAAAGATTTAGCATTCTGGCCCCTTGTGGCCCCTAATTATGTAACATACGACATGGAAATCATAATATATGGTTGTAGATGGTTGAGATGAACATCTTTGCTTCAGTAATGTATTACAAAATATTAACCGATAAAAAGTTATCGATTGAAGACTTTTGGCCCCTAATTCGAGTGCCCAGTCCCTTTTTCGGGATCTCATCTTAAAGATCTTAAGATTTTGAACATTTTGTGTTCAACAATTGTTCAGAAATTCTTTTTCGTTTTTGAGATATTAGAAAAAGAAATTTTTAGGGGCCAACCCTTCAACTCCTTAATGGGGACGTTTAGCAAAAAATGAAACGTCGCATATTGTTAAGAACATTATTTTGAACAACTTTTGTTCAATATTGCTTATCAAAATCTTTCTCCCTTTCGAGATATAAAGCATCAAAGATTTAGCATTCTGGCCCCTTGTGGCCCCTAATTATGTACCATACGACATGGAAATCATAATATATAGTTGTAGATGGTTTAGCTTAACATCTTTGCTTCAGTAATGTATTACAAAATATTAACTGATAAAGAGTTATCGATTGAAGACTTTTGGCCCCTCTTGGCCCCTAATTCGAGTGCCCAGCCCCTTTTTTGGGATTTCATCTTAAAGATCTTAAGATTTTGAACATTTTGTGTTCAACAATTGTTCAGAAATTCTTTTTCGCTTTTGAGATATTAGAAAAAGAAATTTTTAGGGGCCAACCCTTCAACTCCTTAATGGGGACGTTTAGCAAAAAATGAAAGGTTGCATATTGTTTAGAACATTATTTTGAACAACTTTTGTTCAATATTGCTTATCAAAATATTTCTCCCTTTCGAGTTATAAAGCATCAAAGATTTAGCATTCTGGCCCCTTGTGGCCCCTTATTATGTACCATACGACATGGAAATCATAATATATAGTTGTAGATGGTTGAGATGAACATCTTTGCTTCAGTAATGTATTACAAAATATTGACTTTTTAAAAGTTATTGAATAAAAACTGTTGGCCCCTTTCAGCCCTTAATTTGATGAGTCAGCACATTTTTCTTGATATCATATGAAAGATCTTGATATTTTGCACAAATGTTGTTCAGTATGTTTTAACAAAATATTTATATTTTAAAAGATATGATACAAAATGTCTCAAAAAATCACTCATAAAACGTGTCCTAAATTTTGACCCCTACCGAGCTTCCATACTAGGCACTTCCAGAAAATATCCTGACCATGTTGCAACGTGGCAACATGTCCTCTATCATCACTAAAAATTTCAGCTTTCTAGCTTGAGCCGTTTTTGAGTTCCATCACAGACAAGGAGGTCCTCCAAATTTTGATCAAAGGGCGATAACTCCCGACCGGAAGTGAATTTCCAAAAAAAAAATTTGCCGGAATTAACTTCAGATGAAAACGCATCGACTTTGAAAATTTGAAGCAAATCGAACGAGCCATCTCCGAGAAATCGTCTGCACAAATTTTGTAAGAAGAAAAAAGAATAAAAATAATAAAGGTAAAAAAGAAACCGAAGAATAATAGAAGGGTCTTCCGCTGAAGACGGAAGACCCTAACTAGTGCTAATTGTAACGGGGACCGTTACAGATGTTCCCCAAACGCTCCCCAACTCCTTTTTGGTGCCATATTCCCTGTAAGCTTCATTAAATAAGACAAACTCTGTGCATTTTTAACTTTAACATGGTTTTATCAGAAGAATACCAATTATACTCAAATTTTAGCATTGCACCCGTGCGCATATGAATGTATGTGCGTTATGATCACATCATCTTGTCTACACTATCTACAAATTTTAATATACAATATATTAAAGCATTCAGTCAAAAAGTAAGAAAAATCACTCTTTCAAGTGTATTTTTCATTTCACTCGTTCCAAATGCACGCACATGCGTGCACGTGCATGATGACCATACCTTCTTGTAGCAGTCCCTAATATCTATCTATATTCTAAATCCCATCCTCTTTGGTTGAAAAACAAGGGAGTTATAGCCATTTCAAGTTTAAGCCAATCAGATTGCAGCACACGTGCATGCGTGTGATTTCATGATTTTTTTCTTTATCATATTGTAGGATATCCTAATGCATGACTATGTTTTAAATTTCAAAGCATTTCGTCAAAAAACAAAGGAGATATCGCCATTTAATGTTTCAGCCAATCAGATTGCAGCAAGCGGGCATGCACATGCTTTCATGAAAATTCTTATATATCATGCTGTAGATCTTCATAATATGAGTCTGAGTTCAAAATTTCAAAGGATTATGACAAGAAACAAGATAGATATTGAGAATTTAATTTCAGCCAATCAGAGCGAAGCACACGTGCATGCGCGTGAGATCTTACTTTTTTGACCATGTCATTTTGTCTATGCTTCTAATATATACTTATAATATGAGTTTCAAAGCATTTCAACAATAATTTAAATAGTTACGTCTGTATCAATTATATTGGACATTTCTCGCGTTGCACGTGCGAGCTCTTGCAAGCACATGTGCATGCACATGCTTTCATGATAAATCTTATATTACAGGCTGTAGATCTCCCTAATGTATGACTATGTTCAAAATTTCAAATGATTTTATCAAAAGACAAAAAAGATATTGAGACTTTAGTTTCAGCCAATCAGAGCGAAGCGCACGTGCATGAGCGTGCGATCTTGCTATTTTGACCGTGTCATCTTGTGCATACTACTAATATATCCATACATTATAAGTTTCAAAACATTTCGTCACAAAATAGAAAAGTTACGGTTATATCCATTATATATTGGTCATTTTAAGTTTTGCACGTGCGCGCTCTTGCAAGCACGTGCGCGCAAAATGACCTTGATTCTGCAAATCTACATAACATGCCTACTTACCCTAAAAAGGTTTCACCTAAGTCGGATGTGTAGTTTACAAGATCACTCGCGGACAAAATTTTCCCAGGAAGAAAAATAATAATAATAAGAACTAGTGCTAATTGTAACGGGGACCGTTACAGATGTTCCCCAAACGCTCCCCATCTCCCTTTTGGTGCCATATTCCCCTTAGCTTCATTAAATAAGACAAAATTTATGCATTTGAGACTTTAACAACGTTTACCCAGAAGGGTACCAAGTTCATTCATATTTTAGCATTGTACGCGTGTGCATGCGTAATGACCATATCATCATGTCTACACAATCTATATACTTTAATATACTAAATATTAAAGTATTTAATCCAAAAGTATTTAAAAAATACGCTCATTCAAGTGTATTTTTGGTTTTACTCATTTCACGTGCACGCATGTACATACATGAGCATGGTGACATACCTTCTTGTAGAAGTCCAATACATCTATCTATGTTCCAAATCCCACCCCGTTTGGTTGAAAACCAAGGGAGTTCTAGCTGATTAAAGTTCCAGCCAATTAGATTGCAGCGTACGTTCTCGCACGTGTCTGGATGTGCATGGGGATCATACCTTCTTGTAGAAGTCCATTATATCTATCTATGTTTCAAATCTCATCCTGTTTGGTTGAAAACTAAGGGAGTAATAGCTATTTAAAGTTTCAGCCAATCAGATTGCAGCGCACGTACACTCACGTGTATGGATGTGCATGGTGACATACCTTCTTGTAGAAGTCTATTATATCTATCTATATTCCAAATCCCATCCTGTTTGGTTGAAAACCAAGGGAGTTACAGCTATTTAAAGTTTCAGCCAATCAGATTGCAGCACACGTGCATGCACGTGTTTTCCTGATAATTGCTATACATCATGTTGTAGGATATCCTAATGCATGACTATGTTCAAAATTTCAAAGGATTTCATCAAAAAACAAGAAAGATATTGAGACTTTAGTTTCAGCCAATCAGAGCGAAGCGCACGTGCATGCGCGTGAGATCTTGCTATTTTGACCATGTCATATTGTCTATGCTTCTACTATATCCTTATATTATGAGTTTCAAAGCATTTCATCAAAACGGTAAAGATTTACGTCTATATCAATGAAATCGGTCATTTCACGTGTTGCTCGTGCGCGCTCTTGCAAGCACGTGCATACAAAATGGCATGTTGACAATGTCATCTTATCTACATTTATAATATGTCTACATATTCTAAATATCAAAGCATTACATCGAAAAATGTAAAAGTTACGGCAATTTCAAGTATATTGGTCATTTCACGTGTTGCACGTGCGCGCTCTTCCAAGCACGTGCGCGCAAAATGACCTTCGTTCCGCAAATCTACATAACATGCCTACTTACCCTAAAAAGGTTTCCCCTTAATCGGATGTGTACTTTACAAGATCATTCACGGACAAAATTTTCCCGAGAAGAAAAATAATAATAATAATAATAATAATAAGAAACAGAGTAAAAACAATATGTTCCCCAACTTCGTTTGGGGAACATAATAACTAGTGCTAATTGTAACGGGGACCGTTACAGATGTTCCCCAAACGCTCCCCAACTCCCTTTTGGTGCCATATTCCCTGTAATCTCTATTAAATAAGAAATACTTTATGGAATTTAGACTTAATCAAGGTCTTCCCAGAAAAATACAAAATATATTTAAAAATAGGCATTGTACGCGTGTTCATGTGCGTAACGACCATATTGTCTTGTCTACACTATCTAAAATTTTAATATACTTAATATAAAAGCATTTAATCCAAAGGTATTAAAAAATACACTCATACGAGTGTATTTTTAATTTTACTCATTTCACGTGCACGCACGTGCAAGCACGTGCATAATAACTACACCTTATTGTAGGAGTCCCTTATATTTATCTATGTTCTAAATACCATCCTGTTTGGTTGAAAAACAAGGGAGTTATAGCCATTTGAAGTTTCAGCCAATCAGATTGAAACACACATGCACGCGTGTGATTTCATAAATTTTTATCTTTATCGTATTAAAGGATATCTAAATGAATGACTATATTTTAAAATTCCAAACATTTCGTCAAAAAACAAAGGAGATAAAGCTATATAAAGTTTCAGCCAATCATATTGCAGCACACGTGCATGCGCGTGATTTCATGAATTTCTTCTATATCATATTTTAGGATATCCTAATGCATGACTATGTTTTAAATTTCAAAGCATTTCGTCTAAAAACAAAGGAGATATAGCCATTTAAAGTTTCAGCCAATCAGATTGCAGCACGCGTGCATGCGCATGCATTCATGAAAATTTTTATATATCATGCTGTAGATCTTCATAATGTAGGACTATGTTCAAAATTTCAAAAGATTATGACTAGAAACAAGAAAGATATTGAGACTTTAATTTCAGCCAATCAGAGCGAGGCGCACGTGCATGCGCGTGAGATCTTGCTATTTTGACCATGCCATCTTGTCTATACTACTAACGTATACTTACATTATGAGTTTCAAAAAAAATTCATCAAAAAAAGAAAAGTTACAGCAATATCCATTATATTGGTCATTTCACGTGTTGCACGTGCGCGCTCTTGCAAGCACGTGCGCGCAAAATGACCTTCGTTCGGCAAATCTACATAACATGTCTACTGACCCTAAAAACATTTTACCTTAGTCGGATGTGTAGTTTACAAGATCACTCGTGGACAAAATTTTCCCAGGAAGAAGAAAAATAATAATAATAAGAAACAGAGTAAAAACAATATGTTCCCCAACTTCGTTTGGGGAACATAATAATAATAAGAAACAGAGTAAAAACAATACGTTCCCCAACTTCGTTTGGGGAACATAATAAGAAACAGAGTAAAAACAATATGTTCCCCAACTTCGTTTGGGGAACATAATAATTGAATCCACACTTTAAAATTTTTCAAAGGTTATGTCCCTAAGCCGCCATTTTGGGGCAAAACTCATAGAATCCATACAGTAGCTTTTATTGTTTTCTGGTTTAATAATAATTTCAATGCTGCTTTCATCTACAGTAGTTTTTTTTTTAATTTGTCATTTGAGCAGAGCTTAAACCACGGTATTGTTACTCTATATACGTTCTACTGAAAATGACCAAATATCCGATGCCGTACCTTGTATAGTTTTGTTTGAACATGCGTAGATCTATGTGATGCCAAAGTAAGCAGTTAGCAGTTGACAAAAAGCAGTTAGCAGTTGACAGTTAGCAGTTGGTTAACGTAGACCTATACGGAATTCAGCAATATATAGATAAACCTTAAAGGCTTTTCCAAATGTATTTTCCATCTGAAAAAAAATAGTTATGAAAAAAATTGGAATGTCCTAACCATGCTAACGCAGTGCCTTATTTTGATTATGTCATTAGTATTGTGACGTCACGTTTCGTAGTAGACCGTCGTTGTGTTGTGGTTACGATTCATTTCAACGGCTTTAGTCGAAGACGTCGGACGCATTTTTTTACGCTCCCGATTTTTTGCAAACTTTACTGCATTTAGCAGAGAAATGGCGACGAAGATGCACGGCAATAAAGATAAGAGGGTAAAGCCTCATATTGTGTATTTTATTTAGTAAAAAATAAGTTTGGTATCGATTTCTTTGTTGAATTTTACTAGAGAACTACGAGGGGTAACGGATGGTTCTATGCTGATATATTGTTACCATCCTTTCTTACACCCGCCCATTTTCCTGGTATCACTGCCAAAATAAATATATCTACGTGTAATTTTTATTCTCTTGGGAGGGGGGGGGGGCTGTATAAGATCAGTGGTGGAACGTTTTGTTGAACATCTTTCCAGATCCAGTTTCTCCATTTCTATTCCGAAATATGATGTAGATTTTTTAAAAAATAAAAATCATAATTTATTACATAAATATATTATTACATAAAAGGTTAATATAGACAGTTCTTTCGTTCAAAAGCTGTTTTCAGATCATAAATTTAAAAATGTAGAGGCTAAGAGGGTAATTAGAATATAAATAGGGAATGAAATGTTTTCCTAGCTCTACATTATTTCGAGTCGTCATTGGCAACGTAAGCCTTTTCTGCTTCCGGGAAGGGGGGGGGGGGGTAACAAAAATAAACTAGTTAATAAACTGAGGAGAAGGGGATTAACTCCGGGGGGGGGCATAGTTCATAGGAACGTAGAATTTTTAATCTACATCTCAATGATAAAAAAAATCCAGATACCATTATTATAATTTTTTTTTATAGTATGGGAATATTTAATGAAGAGAAAGGATTTTTTTAAAAATGCCCAGAGAAGAGGGTGTGTTCTAATAATTGATCAGATGATTCATATAATAATTTAACAGCAATGTATCAACCCATTAACCAGTGTTAACCGCCGAAACATGGCTGAAAAATTGCCGACTCGGCGTTAAACAATATATAATCAACCAATTAGTTAGTTTTATTAATATTTCTTGAGAGTATCAACATTGTATTCGTGTACCTTGTGGCCTTTTATATTTCAGAAGTTTGGTGATCCAGACGAGACAACCCTCAGAACCAGAGCATCGCCATCTTTGGCGTCTCACAAGGTATAATATAATTAATATTACGTGTACATTACCTTTACAAAAACGGATAGAATCATTTCTTTTTTTCCAGTGCATTAATTTATAGTCTTGAAATTGACACATGCTATTCAGATCAAAAAAGAATCTGACAATGGAATAGAAATATGCCCCCCCCCCCCAAAAAAAAAAAACTCGAGCGAGGCAATCTTTACAAAACTGTTTGCTTGCCATCTCTCGACCGACGGACTAAAAATGCCCGACTCAGAACTTTTTGTTTACACTCCAGGACATTTTCCCCCCTTTTCTCCCGTCGACAAATACATCTATGTTGAAATTTTCTGGGAAAAAGATTTTCATACATACATCCCGACCCAATAATTTTACCCAGAGTCGGAAAACGGAAAGCAAACATTATTTTTCAGATGGCCTGAGCTTAATTTATTGTCTGTTCGTTATCTAGGGGTTCTTATTACTTCGTCCTAGTTTGTCGAACGCTCTCCAACAGGCCATATTTTTATATTCTTTTAAAAAAAGTATTATTTAATTTTTCAAATGGGGGGGGGGTCAAGTTAAAGAAAAAATAGAACCGTAAATTACTATAGGCCATAAACTGGCATAAAAATTGAGATGACAAATCCCAACAAAACAGAACACATTCTGAACATTAAGGTATCTATTTTGCGAAAAAGTAACTGAATGTTCTTATAGGGCCTTACAGCGCAGTGCAGTGAGGAACACACAATTCAGTATTGATGAATAATAAGGAATCCTAATTCTATGTAGATTTATTAGGTTCTAAGGCATGCCAAATTATATCGAATAACCTCAAATGAACAGAAAAATACTTATTGGCAAACTTTGAGAGTGAAGCAGCTTTAGAAGCAAAACCATTTTTTTTATTATACCCCCCCTTCCCCATGCTTGAAAAGCGGGAGGGTATATAGTAATCGGGATGTCCGTTTAATTGTCCGTCCATCTGTTACGCTAGACCTTTAATTGGGGTACCTATCTGTTATCCGCAGCTACTCTGCACTGCATGAAATTTGATGAGACTTTCAGAGAATCTTTATTAAATAATGCCATTTTGCACTACCTATTTCATTTTTTGATCCGACACGTATTTTGGTTTCCCTGACCCATAGCAAAACATGGACACTGCCATTATATTCATATGGCAGGCGGGGGTATCATTTAGTGAGCGAGCATTACTCGCATTACTAGCTCTAGTCTTATTTTTATTGTTCAAATAATCAACTTTGAGACAATAATTTGTAATCGATTCATCGTTTATTTAATTATTATAAACATTTTCACAAACATAATTTCCCCTTGGATAATTTGGTTATTTATTGTAAATAATAGGAACGTCCTAATGGAGTGCCTGATTTTGCTTACGTCATTAGTATTGTGACATCACGTTTCGTAGTAGAACGTCGCTGTGTTGTGGTTACGATTCATTTCAACGGCTTTAGTCGAAGACATCGGACGCATTTTTTTTTACGCTCCCGATTTTTTGCAAACTTTACTGCATTTAGCAGAGAAATGGCGATGATAATGCACGGCAACAAAGATAAGAGGGTAAAGCCTCATATTGTGAGTTTTATTTAGTAAAAAAAAGGTGGTATTATTTATAAATTATTTTATTATATTTTACTTGGAGAATGAGGCCCTGGGTAATGGAGGGTTCTGTGCTGAGCTGTTGTTACCCTCCTTTTAACAGTTTAACACACCCGATCATTTTCCTGGTATACTGCCAAAGAAAACATATCTACAAGTAATTTTTATTTTCTCGGAGGGGAAGGGGGGATGAGGAAATCGCTGATAAGATCAGCGAACAAACGTTTCCTGAACAATTATTATAGGGGCAAAGATCTATTTTCTCCATATCTATTCCAAACATATGATGTAGATTTCCTTTGATAAAAATATAATTTATATATAGGTTTATATAGACGATTCTTTCATTTAAAAAGTTCTTTGTAGATCATAGAACGTAATAAGAAAATACAGGGAATGAAAATTTTCCTAGCTCTACATTATTTCATGTCGCCACTGGCAACGTTAGCCTTTCCTGCTTCCGGGCGCGGGACGGGGGGGGGGGGGGCAGAGTTACCAAAAATTAAAGAGTTAATAAAAGGAGAAGGGAATTAAGAAATTTTAAGGTAACTTGGCATTTTAAACATTTCTTTCAAAAATAAATTTATTGTATAATTTTTTTTTATGTGATATGGGATTAATTTTATAAATGGAGAGAAAGGTTTAAAACGTGTCGCGGGCGGGACCCGGAGTATTCTACTACTTGTGTAAAATGATGCACATGGAGGAGAAATGCATTAACCCTTTGTAAATTGGCAATAAGCAAGGGTGACAAAATAACGGGTGTATTAACACAGGGGAAAATTCGTTCTTATAGAGAATTCTTGGCGATAAGCGGGTTTGGCAATACATTGTATAACGGAGGGGCATTATACATAGGTAGCACTGTAAGATTTTGGAAGTACGTATTTGTATTGTATGTGATATATTTTAATGGAGATTTTGTTTATGTTGGGGTGAGGGGGTTGGGATACATTACACTCGTATAACTACCAGTCTACCACTCAGTCACAAGTGTATATATTTACAAACACCTATTTTTAGAATTCTTGTGTTTTTCATGATTTTATATTGTATTCAACTGTAAAGAAATTATAGAGATTTGGTAAAAAGTATCTGATCAATTAAACACATTTTATACTTCAGAAATTGGATGGTCCAGAGGGGAACTCACAGGGAACCAGAAAACCCCCCCTCTGCGCCCCTGATGAGGTACTGGAATCACTTTTTATTAGGTCACCTGAGTAAACTCAGGTGACCTATTGCTATCACTTTTCGTCCGTCGTCGTTCGTCGTCCGTCGTCCGTCGTGCGTCTTGCGTTAACATTTGAACATTTTCAGCTTCTTCTCTGAAACCGCTGAACCAATTTCAACCAAATTTGGCATATAGCATCTATGGGTAAAGGGGAACAAAACCTGTGAATTTCATGGTCCCTGCCCCCCTTGGGCCTGGGGGGTGGGGCAAAAACCACTAAAATTAGTGCAATCTTTAAAAATCTTCTTCTTTACTCCTGGACATCAAGCAGTCAAACTGTTTGCATGATTGTAATCAACATTGTGTCCTCTACCAAAATTGTGAAATTCATGGCCCCGGGGTCATGGGTTCTAGTGCTAGGGTGGGGCCAAATAAGTATATAGTGAAAATGCATTATTTCTTTGAAAATCTTCTTCTCTGCTCCTGGGTATTAAATAAACTAACTAAGTGCATAGTTATGATGAACAAGAGTGCCTCTACCAAAATTGTGAATTTTATGGCCCCAGGGTCAGGGGTTCTGGTGTAAGGGGGGGGGGAGGGGGGGTCTATAGATTATATAGTGAAAATACATGAATTCTTTGAAAATCTTCTTCTCTGCTCCTGGGTATTAAATAAACTACCTAAGTGCATAGTTATGATGAGCAAGAGTGCCTCTACCAAAATTGTGAATTTTATGGCCCCAGGGTCTGGGGTTCTGGTGTTAGGGCAGGACTCTATAGATTATATAGTGAAAATACATGAATTCTTTGAAAATCTTTTTCTCTGCTCCTGGGTATTAAATAAACTAACTAAGTGCATAGTTATGATGAGCAAGAGTGCCTCTACCAAAATTGTGAATATTATGGCCCCAGGGTCAGGGGTTCTGGTTTAAGGGGGGGGGTCTATAGATTATATAGTGAAAATACATGAATTCTTTGAAAATCTTCTTCTCTGCTCCTGGGTATTAAATAAACTAACTAAGTGCATAGTTATGATGAGCAAGAGTGCCTCTACCAAAATTGTGAATTTTATGGCCCCAGGGTCAGGGGTTCTGGTGTAAGGGGAGGGGGGTCTATAGATTATATAGTGAAAATACATGAATTCTTTGAAAATCTTCTTCTCTGCTCCTGGGTATTAAATAAACTAACTAAGTGCATAGTTATGATGAGCAAAAGTGCTCTACCAAAACTGTGAATTTTATGGCCCCAGGGTCAGGGGTTCTGGTGTAAGGGGGGGGGGGAGGGGGGTCTATAGATTATATAGTGAAAATACATGAATTCTTTGAAAATCTTCTTCTCTGCTCCTGGGTATTAAATAAACTACCTAAGTGCATAGTTATGATGAGCAAGAGTGCCTCTACCAAAATTGTGAATTTTATGGCCCCAGGGTCAGGGGTTCTGGTGTTAGGGCAGGACTCTATAGATTATATAGTGAAAATACATGAATTCTTTGAAAATCTTTTTCTCTGCTCCTGGGTATTAAATAAACTAACTAAGTGCATAGTTATGATGAGCAAGAGTGCCTCTACCAAAATTGTGAATTTTATGGCCCCAGGGTCAGGGGTTCTGGTGTAAGGGGGGGGGTCTATAGATTATATAGTGAAAATACATGAATTCTTTGAAAATCTTCTTCTCTGCTCCTGGGTATTAAATAAACTAACTAAGTGCATAGTTATGATGAGCAAGAGTGCCTCTACCAAAATTGTGAATTTTATGGCCCCAGGGTCAGGGGTTCTGGTGTTAGGGCAGGACTCTATAGATTATATAGTGAAAATACATGAATTCTTTGAAAATTTTTTTCTCTGCTCCTGGGTATTAAATAAACTAACTAAGTGCATAGTTCTGATGAGCAAGAGTGCCTCTACCAAAATTATGAATATTATGGCCCCAGGGTCAGGGGTTCTGGTTTAAAGGGGGGGGGTCTATAGATTATATAGTGAAAATACATGAATTCTTTGAAAATCTTCTTCTCTGCTCCTGGGTATTAAATAAACTAACTAAGTGCATAGTTATGATGAGCAAGAGTGCCTCTACCAAAATTGTGAATTTTATGGCCCCAGGGTCAGGGGTTCTGGTGTAAGGGGAGGGGGGTCTATAGATTATATAGTGAAAATACATGAATTCTTTGAAAATCTTCTTCTCTGCTCCTGGGTATTAAATAAACTAACTAAGTGCATAGTTATGATGAGCAAAAGTGCTCTACCAAAACTGTGAATTTTATGGCCCCAGGGTCAGGGGTTCTGGTGTAAGGGGGGGGAGGGGGGTCTATAGATTATATAGTGAAAATACATGAATTCTTTGAAAATCTTCTTCTCTGCTCCTGGGTATTAAATAAACTACCTAAGTGCATAGTTATGATGAGCAAGAATACCTCTTCCAAAATTGTGAATTTTATGGCCCTAGGGTCAGGGGTTCTAGTGATAGGGCAGGGCTCTATTGATTATATAGTGAAAATACATTGAATCTTTGAAAGTTTTCTTCTCTGCTCCTTGGTATTAAGCAGATGAACTACCTATATAGTTATGATGAGCAAGGGTACTAATCTTCCAGAATTGTGAATTTCAAGGCCCCAGGGTCAGGGGTACCATAAAGGAGGGGGGGACTGTACTTATATACTGAAACTGGATGAAGTGTTCGAAATATGCTCCTTGGTATTAATCAAATATTTTTGAAAAGCAAGGGTGCCTTTTCAAAAATTGTGCAATGTGTGGATCTAGGCCTAAGGGTCAGGGGTTCATGTGTGATTGGGGCATTACTGATCATGCTGAATCTTACTGATTACTTGAAATGCATTTTTTGTTCCCCTACCCTGCCTATGGGTATTAAGTAAACAAACTAAGCAAATGCTAATTGTATTGTTATGATGATCAATGGGGCCTCTTTCAAAATTGTGAATGCCATAGCATCTGGATTAAAACATGAATCAAATTCAATCACTGGAAAGTTGTTGCATAATGCTCAGGTGACCTATAAGGCCCATGGGCCTCTTGTTCGCGAGAGCATTATTTTCGCTAGATAGCGTGCTTGCGTAAATATCATTCTCGGGTCTATAAGTATTATGTAAAGATTCTGTAAAGCAGTGAGAAGCATTCGCTATAGAGCATTCTATAATGCGGAATATTTACTGTTTAGAAATTTATATTCAGAATATAATCCTATAAGTTGAGAAATGTGCAGAATTGTTATACATATTTATAATATTTTAAAATTGACTGGAATTTAGACATAACAGTAATGTTGACTTCTCTTTATTTTGTAGGCTGTACCCGTAAAGAGAAAGCGGTCCTGGCGATACAACCGTGTCTGGACAAAGGACCAGAAGTGGACACGAGAGGTGAACATCATAATTATATTTATAATCTGTTGATGGAGATTTTTAATGCTTAAAATACACAGGAACTTGTTTCTGAAATAAATTTTTAACCCATAGTATAATAATAATGTTATTATTATACTATGGGTCAAAAATTTATTTCCGAAACAAGAGCCTGAGTTATTAAAAATAACTAAGATAATAATTAGGAAACTAAAACTTTGATGATTAAAACATGTTCAGAATAACTTAATGAGAGAGAGAGAGAATATAATTATCTGATAAGACTGATATGAAAACATTTTTAACCGACCATTGTCTTTTACATGTTTTAGGGACTCGATACCAGCGTACAACAGAGGGTGCCACCCCCCTCCAACAAGGATCAACCCGCCACACGGGTATGTTGAATGATAATAATTACTAGAAATACTATAATAAGCAGCATCTGAACAATGTAAACCAAATATTACCGGTATTATATTATATTTGCGGCAACTTATATTACCAATAGTGATAATTTTTTTAAAAATACAAGGACACTTTTTTTTTTTTTAAATTTTAGAACGCTGATGAATCAGGCAAGGCCTTGTCAGAGACCAGAAGCTCGCCATCCAGGGAAACTGATGAGGTGCGGCACTGAAGTATAATTTATTGACTTTATGTAATTATTCATAATACATGTATAATAGTATTGGTGTGTATGTGTACAGTAAAGATGTACTGATTTCCTCTGTTTTGTAGGTCGTACCCAAACGGAGGAGAATAACCTGGAGATACAACAGAGTCTGGCGGAGGGACCAGAAATGGTCAAGAGAGGTGAATGTTCAGCATCATGCAATTACAAGTATTTGAAAGGGGACAATTTAAAAAAAATGACTGATAAAAAAAAACACTTAATATTATGAATTACATGAATATTTCAATCTAAAATAAACATTTTATTTTAGGAGCAGACCCAGCAGCCGAGGGTACCACCCACCACCCAGGTGACCATTGAGGGACCCACCAAGGTGCCTCCTGTCCCAGAACTCAAACAGGTGTATAACCAGTCTTAATATAATTTTTTTAGTGCCCCCCTTTCTTCTTATACATGTATATTTCTAAAAATTTATTAACAACGTAATTTAATTTGGACATTATAGATTGGTGATACATTATTATGGAGGTTTAATTATTATAGAGATAAAACACTTTTTCCCTCAAGGATTATAATATTATGAACTACATGAATATATCAAACTGAAATAAGCATTTTATTTTAGGAGCAGACCCAGCAGCCAAGGGTACCACCCACCACCCAGATGACCAGTGACGGACCCACCAAGGTGCCACCTGTCCCAGAACCCAAACAGGTAAATAACCATTCTTAATCTAAGTGCCCCAGTTACTTCTTGACTATTTCTAATCATTTAAGGCTATTACTTATTTGTATCCCTTGAAATTGGATGTGTATATTAATGTGTTTTAATCTTATTGTAAGTTTTATATTGATTTGTTTAAAAAAATTTATGAATAAGAACTGTTTAAGCCTTGGAATACTTATATATAATTCAACATCACAGTCATTACATTATCATAATTATTCGTCTGAGTCAGCAGAATACTTATTTCTTTATCAGCTAGAATAATTATGACTTCAGCAACATTCTTATTTCTTCAGAAATATACTGTATGCAGGGAAACTTTCGCCCCCGTTTTATTTTCTCCCCTTTCGCCCTCTCCTTGATTGGGCGAATTTAAAACGGGGCGAATTCAAATTACATCTCATAATTTCTGGGCGAATTTTAAATGGGCAAAATTGTTCACAAGTTCAAAAGGGCAAAAATAACACGGGGCGAAAATAACCCTGTATACAGTACTTGATACTGAGTACTTATTATGGGTAGTTTTTTTGGAATTTCAAAGCGATATACATGTATTTTCAACCCTTAACGTTACTTAGATAGTTCCAGTCAAAAATTGATACAATTGAAGATGACTTATTTTATAGCCTGAGCCCCCGAAGTTCCTGAGGACCTACTGGAGAACCAACCGGGTGTGGAGACGGGACATGGTGTGGACCAGAAAGGTAAACAGGGTACAACTGTTCTCTGTCATATTGGTAACAATTTATCAGGCTAGCTATACAGTCCAAATGTGGCAGTATTATACCCATAATTCTCTGCAACACCAGACCATTCGTCATGTTTTACTGATCGCGACTATCACTTTCGTGTATGGAGTAATTTCTGAGCAGCAAGTTTGAGTCTGTTTTCGACCTCAAGCTGTTTGAATATTTTGAAATTCGGGACATGGAAAGCAGACTGTGTGTTTTGACTGGTTGGAGTAAGATCACAGAGGGGATCCAAGAGAGCTTGTTCAGGTACCACATTACACAAGGTCCAGCTCCACAGCCCTAGAAGAACTAATTTTGGACAGGAGAGACATTCATATTAGCTTGGTATCATGGAACCCAGGAGGTCAACTGTGCAGTGGTACTGAGGCAGGACTAGGTTGAGGCATGCCATATACTGAACTAATGTGCATTTAGCTATAAAATCAAATACACTTTGTGAAAAAACCAGAAGAATATTGTCCAATTTTAATAAGAGTAGATACATGATGTAGTTTAATTACTAAGCTGCATATACTTCTTTTGATTGGTATTTCAGACTTCAAAAAATAGTGTTAAAATGCCGCTAAAATTGAATTTCTTTGAATTATTTTTCTCTCCTACAGTGTGGTCTGAAGTAACACTTTGTACACAAGTAGATACACTATTTGTTGTTTTTTTTTATTTTGACAAATTGTGCTGTTGAGGATATAAATATGGAAATAATGTTCAATTCTTTTTTTTTTACCAAAAAATTATTTCTCTTACAGTTTCAAACCAATTTCAATAAGAATTTGGAGAGTAGACCACGTTAAAACACATAATACTGTATATTGTTTTTTGACTGTGACAAATGGTGTTACCATGGTTTACTAAAATTTAATATACATAGGTAATTTTCAATCAGAATTCATTTTCAATAAGTCTTGATATATGCAAGTAGACTGTACTTTATAATAAGAAAAATAATGCATAGCTTATTTTATTTCAACAATCGATGTTGCCATGTGGTGCATATACTTACATATGTATATTAAATGGATTTTTCGTGGAAAATCTTTTTTTACTGTTTTGGTTGGATGTTATTAGACATGATAAATATGTAGACTATACTACTTGATGCAAATAGAGCTTTAGCTAGGTATTTGTGGATAAATTTGAAATTGAAACTGTCTAAAGTATCTCTTTTTGATTTTGAAGACTGAGCTGAAATATCCATAGAGAAGTTCTGACTTAGCTGTAAATTTCTGTGACTTGAATCCAAATATTGTCATAGAATGAGAAATTTAAGATACTTAAATAGCTGTCAATAAAGTCCCATTGGCCATTTGCTTAGATAAAAATATATTCACAATTATATAAATAAAAAAAAACATAGACAATGATAGATTACAGAGCTAACCTCAATAAATATTGTCTTTAAGTAGGGCAAAGTCCCACATTAAATTAACAATCTAGAAGTTTACATCCCAAAATGCACAATTTGCACAATTTTGATCTGATAGGTCTTGCAGTGGCCTGGTAATACAAATCATTTTTGCTTATCCAAGAACTTTAAACTATAGTCACCCATCAAGAAAATGTAATTCAAATCCAGCATCTGAAGCAAGTTTGGGAGTATTCATTCCTTGATGCATCATTCATGCAAGTTTGGTTTAGATAGGCCTTTTCGTTTCTTCATTTAATAGACCTGCACCCATATAATTTTAACCTGGTCCATTATCTGGAATATAATGCCAGATCCAGCATCCGAAGCAAGTCAATTAGTGTGCATCCTTAGATGTATCATCCATGCAAGTTTGGTCAACATTGAGCTAATACCTTCTATAGAAAAAACCTGCTCCAAACTTTAACCTGTTTGTACATACAGAAAATGTAGGTCAGATTCAGGGTCTGAAGCAAAGAATGGGTGGACTTAACTGGCCAGAAGAAATGCCGTAAATATAAGTTATATAAAATGTTTATTTTTTCCCATCATATAAACCCTCGATATCTTAACCGTATATTCATGGTACGGATGTGAATTTGAAACGCTCTTTTCGAGGTAAACTTAATAAATATCGAAGGCATGGTGCCTGGAGATTTCTTGAATATCAATAGATAATCAGGGTCACGCGTTTTTCATCATCTGAATACACAGTCAGCACATGTTTGTTGGCTGTTCTTAAGAATACTGTAGTTGTATATTGAACAAAATAATGTTATATTAAAAGGAGAAGAGCCGACAAACGTGTGCTCACACTTAATTTATTAAAAAAACATGTTCAAAAAAACCCTCTCGCTTCCATTGTTATGTCTTCGTTTGACCTGTTAAATATTACAGTTCATCACGTGATGTCCACCTGCGAGTGTACTCGTGAAAACAGTTACATTGTATTCTTCGTCTTGACCTCGATCTAAATCATGTCTTTGAGAGCGTTTTGTTGCCGTTTTCAGAATTTAGCAAATTAAATATTGTTTAAATTTTGCTTGTCAATCACTTTTGTAAAATAATTTCGTACTGACATCGCTGTAATATGCTAAACACGCATTCGAATTTTTGGAGAGAGAGAGATAGAGAGATGTCAACAATGACGCCAATCGATAGCCCCGCCTCCTATAAATATTGATTGTGTGACATAAAAACCACTATGGGTACATGTCGAATTCCGGAAGACGACACTCATGTATAGTTGCTTCAGTTTTGATACATGACAACAGGGCATTGTTTTTCCACAAATGCGCCACCTAATATAGCCAAGTATATGTAGCTCTTTCCATTGCTCGTAATATATTTTGGATTCACTTCATTTACAGCTTGGTAGAGGAGTCTCAAAAAGATCCAAAATAGGGTGTTAAGTCCACCCATTCTTTATTAGTGTTAGGGTCTGAAGCAAATTTATTAGTGTTCATCCTTAGATGTTTCACCCATGCAAGTTTGTGTGGTCAAGGGCTCATAGTTAGTTGGAAATGAGATCTGCACCAAAAACATTTAAAACCTGTTAACTCATCTGGAAATGTAGATGTGTCATCCATGCAAGTTTGGTCAACATATTATAGGGCTCACACGTAGACCTGCATCAAAAACTTTAACCTATTTACTCAGCTGAAAAATGTAGGTCAGATCCAGCAATTGAAGCATTATCCTGGTAGTATGCATACTTAGATATATCATCTTTGGTCATCATAGGACTTCAAGTTGCATGTACTTAGAAATGAGACCTTCACTAAAAACATTAACCTGTTTTCTCATCTTGAAAATGTACGTCAGATTCAGCATCCAGCAAGTGTGGTAGTTTTGCATCCCTAGATGTATCATCTATGTAACTTTGGTCATGATAGAACTTATAGTTACTTGGTACCAAAAACATTATACCTGCTCCAAAAACAGTAACTGGTAATTCCTATATATGCTTCTTTGCACTCCCACAATGAAACGCACTAGAAGCATCTTTCATGCATGTCTGATCAGTATAGGGCATAGAAGTACTGGACCAAAAACTTTAACCTGGAATGCTGATGCCAACACAGGTGCTGACGTGGAGGAATTATCATATCAGCTCTCATCTTTGTTAAGGTGAGCTCAAAAACAGCAATATGCCTAAAAAAACGGAGTCCAAACTGGAGTTGCGGAGTTCTCCTGTGTTGTCACCACTAGATCAGAGAGAAAGGTCAAAGGTAAATTTATTCTTAGGACTTAGATGTGAAATTCAAATATAATACAATATGTTTATAAATAAATTGCAATGTATGCTTTACAGTCAAATTCATCATGAAAGAGTCTCTTACCTGTCCCACGTCTTTTAAAAATTTGGGTTGGGGTTCATTATTCTTCAGCAAAAGGGTTACGTTTTCCATTGAGGTTTTAATTCCAATATTTGATCTTTTTTATATTAAGTTGGCAGTTACTTACAACAAATTAATTTCTCCTTTTTTATTCTTTTACAATAGACTTCAGTACAGCCAGAGGTCAAGGCTGCTGTTAATGTAAGTATTTTAAAATCCATGATGTTATAAACCTTATATAGTGATCATTGACAAGAAAGTATTAATATTATCTACCGGGTATTTTGTGTAAAAATTTTTCATCATAAATAAACTAAAATAAATTATAAAGAATGATTATATCTGAATAAACAAATTATGACACTTGGTACCTTTTTCTCCAGGAGGCTGACCCACCTTCTCCCATTGTTGAGACTGGACTCGGTGAGGTACAGACTGAGGTCACCGCTGGAGCTTCCCTGGGTGAAGACGTCCCTCCCAGATGTTCCTCCTTGGCTGATGAGTCACATCCCACCCCAGCCTCCACTGGCGGATCCACCCCAACCTCTGATGACGGACCTACCCCACATGCTGAGATTCCTCTCAACTCTTCTTCTGACGAGCCTAGAGCTGCAACTGACAGGGTAGGTGTAATTAAAAGATTACAAGAACATTGTATCATTATACTCTAATAAAGCAAAGAAACCAAACAAAATTTTTAGAAAATTTAACCTTCAAAAATGTTGGTATAATAAGAAAGATATAATCTAAGCAACAGAAAGTCAACAGTTGAAAGGAAAAAGATTGCTGGTTTGAGCAGGTACAGGTACTGAAATGAGACGAAAAAAAAAGTGAAATTTAACAAATTATTTTTTCAGGTGACTGATGGCAAGCTGCCAGAGACAGAAAGTTTGGTGGAGGACAAGACAGGAAGGGATGGCTGTACGGAGATACAGCTGACCAGAGCTAAGGTAATGGGAAATACAGTAAAACTCAGTTATAATGAACTCACTCAGGGACCTGTGAAATCACTTCGCTATATCCATAATTTGTAATAGCCCTGCAAGGAATTCATTGAAGATCACTTCGCTATATCCATGAATTCGCAATATCTGTGTTCTTTCTAAACAAGTTTTACTGTAGTTGCTATTTATTACAGATAGATCTGTATAACATAGAACGTCTACATATATGTGTCTATGTAAAATCTGATAAATATTACCCAGTATGTTGGATTATTTCAGGAGCGACCTACCCGCAAACGTAAGAGGCCAGAACAACCATTCATGACTTCAAAGAGACAGAAGACTGCTTTGGTAGGCATTTTTTTTTGTAATATTGACTGGACCACTTTTAAAATATATTCTTCTAGACAATTCTGTTACTCTAGCTTTTGATATAATAGCATAATTTCCTAATAATTTTATTTGAATTCTTTTTTTTCAGTTTTGCGCCATGGGAGATTGAGTTACAGTCCTTGGAACAGATGTTTGCTGCCTTGAGGTTGTAGGCCTCTACTTTTTACTGTGTGACCGGTGTATCTGCACCCAGACCATCCTGACATTCACTGTATGCTGTTTTGGGTTGGACTGTTTTTTCCATATGATTTTCTACAGCTTGTCACACAGGTATTTGGTACTACACCTCTTTGTATATATGTTCATATTGAATCAATGTAAACAGCTTTGATTAAATTTTGCTATCTCATATTTGTGAGATATAATTTTTTCCATTTTTTTTTTTTTTTAAATATATATTCTTAGTTTTAAAGTTGTTTGGCATTATATATATTTTTTCTCTTTTTGAAATATTGTAAATACTGGTACTTGTTGATTTTTCCCAATAAACATAAAACATCTTTTTATTATTGTTATGTTTTTATAAGATGATAGACATGTGGTTAGATTATTGTGTCTGGAGATACCTTTATATGCAGCTGTGTCCAAAGAGCACAGTAATTCGGCATGATGGATTCTGGAGTACAATAGTCTATAGTCACATCAACATTGAATGATTAAATATATTGCTGTTTAGTGACTGTAGATAAGCATTTAGGTACCATTGTTATTAGTCTACGTTTATTTTAGAGATCACCACCACTGAATGTTGTCTTTTGAAGATCCAACTGGCCATCAGTTGGATATTCAAATATTCACTACTGGCTCTCAGTTGGATATTCAAAATATCCAACTGCCTATCGGTTGGATATTTAAATACCCAACTGAGGTGCAGAAAACATAAAACAATGAACAAAAGAGATAAAGCAATTTTTAAATGTATTTCCAATGCATATGAACAATAAAATAATTACTCCAAATTTTCCACATTATTAGAATTGATTTCCAGTGCACATGGAATTACTTCGTATTTATCACATTTTTTGTGTTTCAAATGCACTTCCAATGCTCACAGAATTAACAATTCCTCCGTTTTTTGCACACTTTTAGAAATGTTTTCAGTCTTAAATTTTGAAAGCCTCATTTTTTGACACATAAATATATACATTTTCACCTTGAATCTTAAATCTCATCACTTTTTATTGTTGAATATTATTTACAGGGACTTATACTTACTTGGATATGAGACCTGCACCAAAAACATTAACCTGTTCACTTATCTTGGAAAGTGTAGGTCAGTCCAATCATCCAGCATCTGAAGCAAGCCTTGTAGTATGCATCCTTAGATGAATCATCCATGCAAGTTTGGTCATCATAGGACAGTTACTTGGAAATGAGAACTGCACCAAAAACTTTAAGGTGGAATAACTCTCTGATAAGAGAGATAACTTTTCTGACAAGAGAGAATTCACTTTCTTCAGAAATTTTGTCATGAAATTCAGTGAATTGTCATGTCAGAGATTACAAATTTCACTCATAAGGACCATTTTATGTTCAACTCAATCAAACCTATTCTATTTTACAAATGTTGATTTCTAGTTTCTATATTGCTAGTAATTATTTATTAATTATTTATTACAAGATTTTCTTTAAAAAATTATACTAATTTGCTTTTAAACAGTGTAAATTGTATCATTCTACTTTTTGAAGTATAATTCTTTTAATTGTACAAAAATTTCAGATGCAGTATTGTTTATAAACATTTAATTAATATTTTGTTTCATTAAAAAATATTTTCAAGGGCGATAATGGAACGATAACTCTTGTTTATGGATGCATGTTATTTTACATGCACAGAAATCAATTTGTTATTCTGATTTAAAAAGCAGTGCTTCGATCAGTATGTTTTCTAATGGGAATTAGATAGGTATGATTATAAGTAAATATTATTTTTATTTATACCTCGTATTTCTAATTTAATTGTGAGATAAAAAATAATTAATCTTTCTATTTACCATATCAAATTTTCTTCACATCATGATTTGACATATTATTCATTTCTATTTTCCATTTGAATTTAATGCTATAGTTGTTGCTGAAAATCAATGTCTGGATTTTTAAAGAAAAGTCTTGAAATTTGTAGAACGAGGATGCTGTCTCCCTAACTCGCTTAAAAAATTTACCTGGTCAATCATTCCTTTGTTGAAATTGCAGCAACTAAAACCTTATCTGGTACAATGAAATGCACTAGCGACATCTTCGGACATGCATGTCTGATCAATGTAGGGCATGGAAGTACTTTCTATAGTGGTCAGCCAGGTTCAATTGCAGATGGCCAGATAGCTCAGTTGGTAGAGCACCTGACCGGAGTTTCAGGGGGCCTGGGTTCAAATCATGCTCTTGTCCCCTGCATTTTCTCCTCCTGTTACATTTGGTGCCGTGCCATGCCCTGGAATTGACAGGTGAAAGACTTGCCAGGGATGAGCCTGGGTTGGGGTCTTTGGATGGCCACAGACCTTTAAGGGGGAAAGAATGTGGCGATGGCCAGGTTCGATTGCCGGTGGCCAGATAGCTCAGTTGGTAGAACACCTGACCGGAGTTCCAGGGGGCCCGGGTTCGAATCCCAGTCTGGTCCCCTGCATTTTCTCCTCTCCCATGACATTTGGTGCCATTGACCACCCCTGGAATTGCAGGTGAAAGTCCTGCAGAGGTAATAAGAACTTTGGTTGTGTCTTTGAGGGCGAGGACCATTGAGCAGAGGGAGATTGGTGATGGTTTGGGCCGTGGGTGTTGGCTTGGGTGGCTCAGTTGATGGAGCGCCTGACTGGAGATGCGGGATCCAGGGTTCAATTCCAGTCCATTCATGCATTTTCTCCTTTCCTGTTACATTTGCCGTGTGTGTGTAATCCCTATTAACCCCCCCCCCCTGTAAGTGATTAAAATCAACTAAAGAATATCAAAAAGCAGCAGAGGCCCATGGGCATAGTCCCTCACCTGAGAAGTTTGGCCATTCTGTTTCTTACAGATTTTCCCCTTGTAATACATATTGTGACCCCACTGATCATAATTTAAACAATTTGAAATCTACACTACCCCAGTATGCTTCCACAAAAGTTTAAGCTTTTCTGGCCCAGTGGTTCTTGAGAAGAAGATTTTTAAAGATTTTCTTATATACTCCTATGTAAAACTTTGATGGGCAATTGTGGCCCCACCCTCGGGGATCATGATTTGAACAATTTAGAATCTACACTACCCCAGGATGCTTTCACATAAGTTTCAGCTTTAGTGGCCCAGTGGTTCTTGAGAAGAAGATTTTTAATGAACCAACCCTATTTTTATCTTTTCTTGATTCTGTATACTCCCCTTTTGAGGGGACATGTTCTTCATTTAACAAATTATATTCCCCTTCACCCAAGGATGCTTTGTACCAAATTTTTGTCAAAATTGGCCCAGTGGTTCTTGAGAAGAAGTCGAAAATGTGAAAAGTTTACAGACAGACAGACGGACAGACAACAGACAAAAGTGATCAGAAAAACTCACTTGAGCCTTCGGCTCAGGTGAGCTTAAAATTACCTGAATCCTTTCTCTTAAGCTTAGATATTCCGACAATCTCTGATCTCTTGATATTTTTGCTTTAAAAATCCAGTTTTTAAGAAGAAATTTGTTTTTATTAAAAATCTGATTGTACAGATACAAAGAGCATATAAAAAAAAACTTAGTATATGAAAAGATGTACAATAATGTAGTAGCACTCTGAGCTTTCTCCAAAATGTCTTATTACAAATTTAACAGAGTTAACTTTGAGTGATATCTGCTGTGAATATGTCAGGAGTTATCCTTTATGAGTTATGTACTCAGCACGGTCCACTGAATTCTGGAGTCAAGCTATTTACTGTGTCCATCATTTTGTAAT